TTTGGTGGCCACAAATATTGTCAATATGTTTAATCTGAATTGAGATATGTAAACTACACACCAAATTTAATATAAAACAACCAGAATGGGCACCAATAGCTAATGCATACAATACTAATTTTCAGGAGGCTAAGATCTGATGATCCAGATGTGAGGCCAGCTCAAGCAAAAAAAAAAGTCTGTGATACTCTTACCTCCAATTAGCCACCAAAAAAACAGAACTGGAGATGTACCGCAACTGGTAGAATACCAGCTATGAGCTGAAAAACTGAGCAAGAAAGTGAGGTCATAAATTCAAGCCCTGATATTGACACAAAAAGAACATAGTCAGGCACCAATAGCTTGTCTGTAATCCTAGCTATTCAGGAGGCTGAGATCTGAGAATCGCGGTTCAAAGCCAGCCCAGGCAGGAAAGCCCAGAAGACTCTTATCTCCAATAAACCACTAGAAAACCAGAAGTGGCACGGTGGCTTAAGCTGTAGAGCGCTCACCTTGAACAGAAGAGCACAAGGACAGCGCCCAAGCCCAGAGTTCAAGCCTGACAGCTGACAAATAGATAGATATATCTTCTCTACAGAATTCTAGTCACCTTCAACCTGACCTTTTGTGTCTTACCCATTCACCAAAATGAGTGAGCAAGTCCAGCTTTCCTCCAGGTGAAAGCCAAACTTATCAGCAGGCATTCCAGCTTTTCCAAGCTTCTGTTCGATGAGACCCACCTCCCACTGGCCATAGCAGATCACTTGTTCTTCCTCAAACACTCTACACTGTCCCCAGTTACAGTTTTGTTTAAAGGTTTTACTCCTCCAGGTTGAGGAATTTCTTCTCATACTTAAGACACAGTCTACAAAAAGCACTCTAAAGTTCCCCAGAGAAGTAAATTGATTTTTTTCTGCATCTAATCTCCATCACAATTCCTCTTTTATAGAAACTATATGTGTTTTGTCATTAACTGCATACACATTTGACTTCTTTAAAACTCTGAAGTTAGGCTGGGTGCCGGTGGCTCACGCCTGTAATCCTAGCTACTGAGGAGGCTGAGATCTGAGGATCGAGGATTGAAGTCAGCTCAAGCAGAAAAGCCCCTGTGAGGCTCTTATCTCCAATAAACGATTCAAAAGAACCAGAAGTAGCACTGTGGCTCAAGTGGTAGAGTGCTAGCCTTGAGCACAAAGAGGCTCAGGGACAGCGCCCAGGGCCTGAGTTCAAGCCCCAGGACCAGGGCATATGCAAAAAATACTCTAACGTTAACAGAGGGGGAAGCAGGAGGAGGAATAGAAGGAATAAGGAGAAGGAGCTGGAGGAGGAAGGAAGAGAAAGACAGTAATAGAAGTTTAAGGAAGCCCAGTGCTGGTGGCTCATGCCTGTAAACCTAGCTACTCAGGAGGCTGAGATCTGAGGATCCCAGTGTAAAGCCAGCCTGGGCAGGAAAGTCTGTGAGACTCTTACTTCCAATCAACCACAAGAAAATCAGAAGTGGTGCTGTGGCTCAAGTGATAGTGCTTGCCTTGAGCTGAAGAGGTCAGGAACCTCTACGCCCAGGCCCAGAGTTCAACTGACCAAAACAAAAAAAAAAGAAAGAAAGAAAAAAAGAAGTTAAAGGAAATAGTGTTTATCTGGGAAACAAAGAATTGCAATTCCCATCAACTAAACTAGAACACCCTTGAATAGAATACTATAAAGCAATGTGGGAGGCAAGTTTTTTAAAGTTTTTTTGTGTTGTTGTTGTCAGTCATGGGGCCTGAACTCTGGGCCTGGGCACTGTCCCTCAGCTCTTCAGCTCAAGGCTAGCGTTCTACTACACAGCACCACGTCTGGCTTTTTCTGCTTATGTAGTGCTGAGGAATCAAACCCAGGGCCTCAAGCATGAAGGCAAGCACTCCACCACTGGCCACCTTCCCAGCCCCTTGTTTTGTTTTTAAATAGGGATTTCCTCAGTAGTTTTTGAAGGCAAGTCATTGGCTGGACAGAAATAAAAAATTTCAACCCCCTCTTGAATGGTTAGTAATTAGGGTACTCCTAGCTAAGGAATGTTGAAGGTTGGCTGATAATGGCTTCAACTGTTTATCCAAGTCCTTTGTAACATTCTATGGTTTAACCTTTGAGGGCACTATGCTCCACATTTCCTGATATCACTTTAGTTAAGCTAGGCAGGGTGGTCTGTAGTTGTAGTTTAGGACAACCTGGACAATTGTCTTAGGCATAGTGGTTCATGCTTGCAACTGGGAGGCTGAGACAGAAGGATCCTCTCTTTGAGGTCAACCTGGGCTAGATAATGTGATGCTGTCTCCAGAAAAAAACAACCAAGAAAGGTGTGTTTTTTGTTTGTTTTTGCCTGAACTGGCTCTTTGAAGTCTAGGGCCTAGAGCATTTACTTAGCTTCCCCTAGCATCAAAGCTGGTGCTTTACACTTGAGCCTTATTTCCACTTTTTTTTTTTTTGCTAGTTAATTGTAGCTAAAAGTCTCTTGGATTTAGTGTTTGGAAGTGTGGCTCAGTTGGTAGAGCTAGTACTAGCCAGTGAGCAAGGGCCACTAGGCATTGAGTTCAAGTCGTGGTCTTGGACCACAGGGGGAAAAAAAAAGAAAAAGAGAAGTCTCTCAGGCTTGTTTGTTTGGACTAACTTTGAACTGCCATTCTCAATCTTTAGCCTCCTGAATAGCTTGGTTTTTGGTTTGTTTGCTTGCTTTTTTCTTGTTTGTTTGATCTGCTAGTCCTGGAGCTTGGGCTCTGTCCCTGAGCTTCTTTTCCTCAAGGCTAGCGCACTACCACTTGAGCCACAGGTTCACGTCTGGCTTTTTCTGAGTAGTTTCCTGCCTGGGCTGGCTTTGAACCGTGATCCTCAGATCTCAGGTTCCTGAGTAGCTAGAATTACAGGTATGAGCCACCAGCATCCAGCTGAATAGCTGGTTTTATAGGTATGAGCATCTGGCTAGGTATTAGTTTTACTTTTGATGACTTCATTTTTCTTTCACAGCAGGTGGAGGCTGAGTATAGAGTAACAGACTTCCTGCACACAATAGTTTGTGTTTTGGCAGTACAGGGGTTAAACTCAGGGTCTTGAATTTGCTAGACTGGCACTCTACCACTTTCACTTTTTCTGACTTGGTTGCCCTCCCAGGTTTTCCTCTCAAAACTTTTTGGACTGTTGAATTCTTCTTTTCTGCTTTTTCTTTGTTTTTTTGTTGGTTGTGGGGCCTGAACTCTGGGCCTAGGCAATTCAGCAATTCAGCTCCAGGCTAACGCTCTACCACTAGAGCCACAGCACCACTTCCAGCTTTTTCTGTTTATGTGGTGCTAAAGAACTGAACCCAGAGCCTCATGCATGCGAGGCAAGCACTTAACCATAGCCACCTTCCCAGCCCCTGCTTTTTCTTTTCTTACAATAATTCTTTTTGAAAAATCGTGTGTGTGTGTGTGTGTGTGTGTGTGTGTGTGTGTGTATTAATACTGGAGCTTAAACCTGGGACATTATTTTATCACTTACCTTTTTTGCTGCAGGCTGGCTAGAGAGCTCAACGTCCAGCTTTTTAGTGGTTAATTAGAAATAAGAATCTTTTCTGCCTGGGCTGGCTTTGAACCACAATCCTCAGATTTCAGCCTTCTAAGTAGCTAGTATTACAGGTGAGCCACCAGCACCATGCTTTAGTTAATAGTTTACAGCAGGTTGAATGAAGCAGATATAATAATGTGGCTGTTTTCAACTAAGCCAAAAATGAAAGATTCAAATTTAAAAATTATGGTTTTATGTAAAGTATATTTTCTTTCCCTAAACAAAACAAAATCTTTATGTGTTTTATGATGCTGAAGTTCCAGCCTAGGTGTTCTCACCCGTGCTCGGCCAGCACTACTACTGGATTACATTCCCCAAACACAAAAATGTACTTATGTAAACACATAATAATCATATTGTATTTTAATAAACCAAAACATAAAAAAAATTCTCAATAAAGTTTTGAAGTTGGAAAAAGGTTGCCTAGAATGTTCCAGACTCTGAATCTGATATCCATTGATATCCAGCACTATCAAAAACTTAGAGAGGTTTTCCTTATCATAAATTTTGAAACATAAAGGTCAAATCAAAGCATTGTTTCCAACAGCGCAAGAGGAACGGAGATCAAAAGGCTTCAGAGCTTCTGCCCTAGAATGCTCTCTTCTTATGCTGCTAGCGAACCCCAGTGGACAGTCTCAGGTATTAACAACTGCGCTCAAGACAACCTTCCCTAAGCTGGCTCTCTATGCCCTCTTCAGTTACACTATCCTATTCTATTTTCCCTGCACAGGGTGCCTGAGTGTGTGTGTGTGTGTGTGTGCGCGCGCGCTGCGGCTTGAACTCAGGGCCTAGGATCTGTCCCTGAGCTCTTTCACTCAAGGCTAGGGCTCTACCTTCCGAACCACAGCTCCACTTGCAGCTTTTTGGTAACTGATTGGAGATAGGCGTGTCAAGGACTTAACCTCCTGGCCTGGTTTGAACGGCCGATCTTCAGATCTCCCCCTCCTGAGTGGCTAGGATTATAGGCGTGAGCCCTGGCGCCCGGCTCCCCTCAAGTTTTAAACTTAGGTACGCGACAGACAGAATGAAACGATCCGCGCTCTAGATGTAAGCGAGGGCTCTTCCCCCTGCAACCTCAAGTCCGCGGCCAGTCTTTCCGGGGGAAAGTCTGCCCTTTGCACCGATCCCCTTACGCGATAGAGGCTTAATAGGGTCGGGGAAGGACCCAGGGCGTTTCGAAGCTTGATTGTCCTGAGAGGGGCCTGAGGATGCGGCTGGCAGCTCGCGCACAGAACCCTTACTCGAAGCACGCCGGCCTCTTCACCGTTCTAGAGGAAGCCTGCCCACGTCCCTTTGCGCCTGCGCGGCCACACCCTACGCCCCTTCGCGCTCCGCCTCCTGATCAAGCTGAGGCTCCTTGGGACTTGGGCAGCACTTCACGACAGCGTCGTCGCTTTCCGGCTGGCCGCGCAGGTGCTGATGTGTCGAGGGGGCGGAGCCGAGGCTGGTGGAGTTCGGAGGTGCTGCTGGCTGCGGCCGCACGGTGGTATGGCTGTGTCCCGGTCCGCGCGGGCCCCCCTCGACTCAGGTAGGATGGGGGCGGCCGTGCGGGCGCAGACAGAAGGACGCTGGTTTCAGAGGGGCGGAGCCGGAGACGCCTAGTGGGACCTAGAGAATGGGAGTTCTGTCATGTGTGAGGTTGGGGACCGTGGAGATCCTGAGAGGGGGAAGTTTCTGGTGGTCAGAGATCAGAGAACCAGGAGACATTACCCCTGGGCTGTTAAGGCGGGAAGTTCTGAGATTTGGAGTGGAGGCAGACTTCAACCCTGCTCACACATGGTCTCTTCTCATTGGTTGTAGATAAAGGACAGAAAGACAAGCCTGGACAGACCTCAGGGCCCAGGCCAGGCAGCCAAATGGGAAAACTTCTGGGCTTTGAATGGAAAGATTTATCTAGCTGGCAAAGGCTAGTGACCTTGCTTAATCGACCAACGGATCCAGCAAACCTGGCTGTCTTTCGTTTTCTCTTCGGTGAGTCCCCTTTTGGGGTGGTAGCACTTGGGCTTGGGAAAATGACAGTCGTCTGTTTTGGGGGTACTGAGTAGACTTAGCTTCCTTGTCCATATTGATGAAGATATTATGGAAGATGTCTTTGTAAAGTTTAGGATCATACCTGGCTTGGTCACCTCTAGTTAGGGTTTGGTGGCCAGGAAATGCTTGGATCTGAAGCTATATGAAATCAGAAGCAGAGGAACAAGGACCCAGTTTACTTGTCATATGAAGTTACCAGGCAATTATGCCTAGGACTTCAGAGAAACACAAACAGGGGTAAGGGACAATTTGGCTGTGATTCCCTAATCTAGAGCTTCCTAACACAAAGGTTACAGGCATGTGCCCTTGTACTGGCTTATAGATATATCAAGTGTATCACCCTCTTAGCCCAGTAGTTGTTAACTGAGGGAATTTTGCCCCCTGGACACATTAGACAATATATACAGACATTTTTAGTTGTCACAACTTGAGGGGTAAAGGAATAGTTGACTGCTAACATCTGTGCAGGCACCTGGGATGCTGCTCCTTGGTGTCTTGTGATGCACTGGCAACCATCCCAGCAAATAATTAACCAGATTGGTTAATGTTACTAAACCAGAGATTGAGAAACCCTGCCTTAAGCAAGCCCCTTATTCAAATATCACTTTTTTGTTGGGAATGCCAAGAAGGAAAAACAATGTTGGGAAGGATCCCTTGCAGCAGTTCCTATAGCTCAGTGAGATGTATCTGTTATAAATGTTAGAACCCTGGGCTGGGAAGGTGGCTCAGTGGTAGAGCACTTGCCTTGCATGCATGAGGCCCTGGGTTGGATTCCTTAGCACCACATATGCAGAAAAAGCTGGAAATGGCCCTGTGGCTCAAGTGGTAGAGTCCTAGTCTTGAGCTAAGAGCTAAGGAACAGCACCCAGGTCTAGAGTTCAGGCCCCACGACCGACTAAATAAATAAATAAAAAATGTTAGAACCCTAACAGCTTTGTTTTTTGTTTCTGTGCTGATACCGGGGCTTGAACTCAAGAGCCTGGGCACTATACCTTAGCCTTATTACTCAACCACATCTCCACAGGGTGTGTGTGTGTGTGTGTGTGAGTGTGTGTGTGTGTGTGTGTGTGTGCACTATACCTTAGCCTTATTACTCAACCACATCTCCACAGGGGTGTGTGTGTGTGTGTGTGTGTGTGTGTGTGTAGTGAACTCAAGAGCCTGGGCACTATACCTTAGCCTTATCACTCAACCACATCTCCACAGGGGTGTGTGTGTGTGTGTGTCTAGTATTTGACTTCCGGGCCTGACCTTGCTAAGCAAGTGATTTACCACTTGAACCGTATTTCCAGTTATAGAACTCTATTTTCTTAGCATTTTGTACATTTCTCTCATTTAACTGTTTCTAAAACCCTATGAAGTGTTATAACTCACTTTTTTTTTTTTTGGTCATGGGGCTCGAACTCTGGGCCTGGGCGCTGTCCTTCAGCTCTTCAGCGCAAGGTGAACACTACCACTTGAGCCACAGAGTCCCTTCCAGTTTTCTGGTGGAGATAAGAGTGTCAGACTTTCCTGCCCAGACTGGCTTTGAAGTGTGATCCTCAGATCTCAGCCTCCTGAGTAGCTAGGATTACAGGCGTGAGCCAACTGGCATTAACCCACTTTTCACAAAGCGGAATTGGCTCACTGAGCTGTGAGGACTATTTGATGCGTGATTAACATACTGCCTTGTGACAATAAGCTCAGTAGATTTTGTTGAATAACTGACAGTGCTAAAATTAGACAAGAAGTCTGGTAGTCTTGGAGCTAGTCATGCTCAATTGTGTTCTATGTATTCTATAACTTCTTCAGTTGAAGCATAATGTTCCTTCCCCTATTGCCTTTACAGCATTCTTGATGGTACTGGACATTCCCCAGGAGCGGGGACTCAGCTCCTTAGACCGAAAATACCTAGATGGACTGGATGTGTGCCGCTTCCCCTTGCTGGATGCTCTGCGTCCCCTGCCACTTGACTGGATGTATCTTGTCTACACTATCATGTTTCTGGGTGAGGACAACTGTGGGAAAGATGGGAGTATTGACTGGCCTTTCAGAAACACAGAAATAAGAAGCGTGCTGGTGAATGACAAGTCTTGGGCGCCTATTTCACTTCTCCTATGATTCAGTTTCATACTACTGCTCTGTGTGTCATGTGAGCTGTGATCCCATAACTTTTCTTAAAATATTAAGATAACATTCAATTTTCACTTGGTTTTACCTGTTATAAACTATCGATGACTTTTTATTTTTTATTTTATTTTTTTTTGTTGGTCGTGGGGCTTGAACTCTGGGCCTGGGCATTGTCCCTCAGCTCTTCAACTCAAGGCGAGCGCTCTACCACTTGAGCTACAGCGCCACTTTCAATGACTTTTTAAAATCCCAGTCACAGCCTATTCCCAGGGAAGTTGGGCCTGTGGTGACTCTTCTTACTCCTCTCCCCACAAATCTCAGGGGCACTGGGCATGATGCTGGGCCTGTGTTACCGGATAAGCTGTGTGTTATTCCTGCTGCCATACTGGTATGTGTTTCTCCTGGACAAGACATCATGGAACAACCATTCCTATCTGTATGGTTTGTTGGCCTTTCAGCTGACATTCATGGATGCAAACCACTACTGGTATGAATCTGGGGGTTTATGGGGGAGGGTTGGCTGGGTAAAGATGCTTATCAGAGATAGGAACCCAGTGGAGTCCTAGAAATTGTCCTTGTGGGAATATTTTAAACTATATTTTGTAAAATACAGTTACATGGTCACACTTAAGTGGATTTGGGAGGGGGAAGGGCCAGACAGCTAGGGTGATTGCAATGACCAAAAGCAAAATGGTTCTACCCATTTACTCTTTCCATATCTCTCTAGGTGCCTTGATTTATCTACTTCCTGTAACCTCTTAGTAAGAAGACGGAAAGACTAAAGCCAGATATAGCTGTTTTCAGATACTCCAAGGGTGCTTATGTGTGAGAGAGAAAGCAAATTTCTTTCTTTTTTTTTTGTCTGTGTGAGCCCAGAGGGGCAGAGTTAGAGCCAAGAGTAGATATTACTGTGAAATGGAGATGACATCAAGAGGAGATGGACAGACCAAGGCTGCTCAGCAGGATAGGGAGGAAATAACCCTCCCCCATCTCTGGCTTAGGTGACCACCTCTTAAGGAATGTGGGCAAAGGATTTGGAGTAGGGTGGCAGAACACATGACCTTAAGGACTTCTCATTGGTTATGAGCAAAGCAAATATGAAATGTCAGTAATATGGGTATAGGAACAACATCTCAAATACTGAATTCATTAGCAGTCATCAGTATGCATCATCGATGAATATATACAAATTCCCTTTCTGTAAAACTTTTTTTTTTTTGTCACTTGTGGGGCTTGAACTGTGGGCCTGGGTGCTGTCCCTCAGCTCTTCAGCTCAAGGCTAGCACTCTACCACTTGAGCCACAGCAGCACTTCCTGTTTTCTGAGTGGTTTGTTGGAGATAAGAGTCTCACATACTTTCCTGCCGGGGCTGGCTTTGAACTGCGATTCTCAGATCTCAGCCTTCTGAGTAGTTAGGATTACAGGTGTAAATCACCTGGGCCTGGCTCTGAAACTTTTTGATTCTGTTTTTTGTATGGAGGATTAAATCCAGGGCTTTTTGCATGTTAAGTGTTTACTTTAATGATAATGAGCTATATCACTATTCAGCAGACCCCACTTGTGTAAAACTTTCAACTTTTTTTTTTTTTGTCTGCCTGGGTCTTTTCTTTTAATACATATTTTTTTATTGTAAAGATACTGTATACCTGCTTTAAAAAAAAGATAACTGTACAGAGAGGTTACTGTTACACGAGTAAGGTACTGAGTACATTTCCTATTGAGCATTGTTACCTCTCCTTTGTTTTTCCCTTCCCTCCCCATTCCTTTTCGCTCCCCCTCTCTCCCCGAGTCCTGGGTCTTAAACTCAGGATTTAGGTATTGTCCCTTATCCTCTTTGTGTTCAAGTCTAGTGTTCTACTAATTGAACCACAGCACCACTTTTGGCTTTTCCTGAGTAGTTTATTGGCTGCAAGAGTCTCATGGACTTTCCTGCCTGGGCTGGCTTTGTTTTTGTTTTTTTTTTTAGATTTTTTTTTGGGTCCGGTCGTGGGCCTGAACTCTGGGCCTGGGCACTGTCCCTCAGCTCAAGGCTAGCGCTCTACCACTTGAGCCACAGCACCACTTCCGGGTTTTTCTTTTTGCTTATGTGGTGCTGAGGAATCGAACCCAGGGCCTCATGCATGCAAGGCAAGCGCTCTACCACTGAGCCACCTTCCCAGCCCCCTGGGCTGGCTTTGAACCACAGTCCTCGGATCTCAGCCATCTGAGTAGCTAGGATTATAAGCATGAGATGCTGGCACTTGGCTAACTTTCATCTCCTTTAGGATGTCCAGCTATGAGGTTTATGATGTCCAGTTGAGGTTTATGTTATTCTTATTTGGAAGTACTAGAGTTTGAACTTAAGTCCTTATGCTTGCTAGGCAAGTGATAATACCACTTGGGTTATGGCCTCCAACTGCTTCTTTGTTTGTTTGTCTAGAAATGGAGTGTTACTATATAGCTCAGGCTGGCCTGGATCTCTCTCTGTAGTCCGGCTGACTTTGAATTTATGATCCTCCTCAACTTCCCAAGGGTTAGGTTCATACATATGTACCACCACAACTTACTAGCAGGCAGTTTTGACAAAATATCTCTCAGAAGTTCCATTTTAAAGACTTGAATTAAAAAAAAAAATTACCTATCTCTGGGCATTGGTAGCTCATACCTGTAGCCCTAGCTACTCAAGAGACTGAGATTTGAAGATCCTAGTTCAAAGCCAGCCCAGTTAGGAAAGTCCATGAGACTCTTATCTCCAATCAGCTACCAAAAAAACCTGGAAATTGGAGCTATGGTTCAAATGGTAGCCTAGCCTTGAGCCAAAAAAGCTCAAAGACAGTACCCAGGCCTGAGGCCAAGCCCTTAGACAGGCACACACACACAATTAGAGCCAGGCTCTGGTGGATCACACCTAAAATTCTAGCTACTCAGGAGGCTAAACCTGCAGGATCAAGGTTTGAAGCCAATCTAGGCAGGAAAGTTTGATAAACACTTATCTCCAATTAATTAGCAAAAATACTTGATAAGATGTGTAGCTTAAGCGGTAGAGCAACAACAGTGAGCCAGAAAGCCGAGCAAGAATGGAAAGCCTTGAGTTCAAGCCCTGGTACTGACACATTAAAAAAAAAAAAAAAAACCCAACAAGGAAGTTCATTGTACTATTCTCATTTTATAGATGACGAATGTCAGTCTTAGGGAAGTGAAGTATGTGCCTAAGGTCACAATAGGCAAAAAATAAGTGAGAGTGCAATGTCCTTTAAGAGTCCAGAATGTGGGGCTGGGAAGGTGGCTCAGTGGTAGAGCGCTTGCCTTGCATGCAGGAGGCCCTGGGTTCGAGTCCTAGCACCACATAAGCAAAAAGAAAAAAGCCGGAAGTAGTGCTGTGGCTCAAGTGGTAGAGCGCTAGCCTTGAGCTGAAGAGCTGAGGGACAGCGCCCAGGCCCAGAGTTCAGGCCCCATGACCGGACTCCCCCCCCCCCCCAAAAAAAAAAAGTCCAGAGTGTGTGTGTGTGTGTGTGTGTGTGCGTGCGTGCGTGTGCGTGCGTGCGTGCGTGCTTGCCAGACCAGAAAAAAGTCCAGAGTGTGTGTGTGTGTGTGTGTGTGTGTGTGTGTGTGTGTGTGTGTGTGTGCGCGCGCGCTTGCCAGTCCAGGGGCTTGAACTCTGGGCCTGAGCACTGTCCCTGAGCTTTTGTGCTCAAGGCTAGTGCTCTACCACTTAAGCCACAGCTCCACTTCTATCTTTTTGCGGCTAATTGGAGATGAGTCTCATGGACTTCCAGTGAGTCTAGTGTTCTTGACTTAAACTGTATGTTCCCCTTTCCCAATTTCTTGAAAACATGTTTTGCTTCCCTCCCTCCCCCCACAATACATCAGGTGTTAGTAACTTGGCAGATAACACTTGAACTAGACACTGGCATCAGATCTATAAGTATTAGCTAATGTTGTACATTCTGCTGTGGAATTATTTGAATTTTTCTAATTTCTTAATTTTTTTTTTTTTTGTGTGAAGTTGAGGATCAAATTGAGGTCCTTAGCTGGGCACCAGTGGCTCACGCCAGTAATCCTAGATACTCAGGAGGCTGAGATCTGAGTATCACAGTTCAAAGCTAGCCTGGGCAGAAAAGTCTGTGAGACTCATCTCCAATAAACTACTCAGAAAAAGCCAGAAGTGGTGCTGTAGCTCAAGTGGTAGAGCACTAGCCTTGAGCACAAAGAGGCTTATGGACAGTATCCAGGCCCAGAATTCAAGCCCCGACCAGCAAAGAAAAAAACATGAGGGCCTTGCAAATGGCTAGGGCAAGTACTATATAACTAAGTCAAAGTTCCACCCTAAGATTTTTATTTTTAACATAATTCACTGAGCTGGTTGCTGGTAGCTGGTAGCTCATGCCTGTAATCCTCGTTACCAGGAAGTTGTCTCAGTTAAAAGCCAGCTAGAGCAGACAAATCCTAAAGATTTTTTTCTCCCAATTAACTAACAGAGAAGCTGAAAGTGGAAGTGTGGTTCAAGTGATAGAGTGCCAGCCTTGAGTGAAACAATGTAAGCAAGAGTGTTAGGTCCTAAGTTCAAGCCTTATTACCAGCAAAAAAAAAAAAATGTCAATACATTGTATAGCTAGGAATGGTGGCTCAGTGCCTGTAATCTTACCCTAGAGGTAGAAACAGGAGGATTGAGAATTTGAAGCCAGCCTGGGCTACCTAGCAAAAGCCTATCTCAAAAAACAAAACAAGAATAAATGATAATACACTAAACATGTATATGAACATGTATGTATATTTACTTAAATCTTTGGCTTTTCAGAAATTCCCCAAATTTATTCTCTAGGCATATTCTAGACTTTGATCCTTTGGTTCCTGAGTTGACTTGACTAGGACAAACTCAATTGTGAGCTAATAATACACATTGAACTTTTTGTTATAATTTATTACAGTCTCTGATATGGTTAAACATAATTTCATGATGGTGTAAGAGCATATCTGTATAGCTATTATGTTATTCACTTGATATAATCAATAAATTACATGATAAAATAAGCTTTGTGTTACATCATCTTACCCATCAGTAGAATAATGCAAGTGCTCTGAGTACATTTAATGTGGCCTGCCGAACTAGGATATTTAGCAGGTTACGTATATTAGAGACATTTTCAACTTACGATTGGTTTACTAAGATATAACCTTGCCGGGCGCTGGTGGCTCACACCTGTAATCCTAGCTATTCAGGAAGCTGAGATCTGAGGAGCGCTGTTCAAAGCCAGCTCAGGCAGGAAAGACCATGAGACTAACCTTCAACTAACCAACGGTAAACCAAAAGTGGAGCTGTGACTCAAAGTGGTAAAGCACTAGTCTTGAGCAAAAGAACTCAGGGGCAGTGCCTAGGCCCTGAGTTCAAGTCCTATGGCTGACAAACAAAAAACATGAAACATAAAAGTCCATTTTAGGTTAGGAACATTTATACTAGGAATATTTGTTTTTATGACTTGATCACTATTAGAATTTGTTCCTATATTTCTAAAAGTTTCAGAGTAGCCCAGAGGGTCAGAGAGGACACAAGAGATTACTGAGGTAGATTTGCCATAATTAAAAGGAAAAGTAGATAAGTAACTAGACTAAGAAACTCCTCTGTGTTTTACCCCTCTTGGTGTAGGTCTGTGGATGGCCTGCTGAATTCCCGTAAGAGGAATGCCCATGTACCCCTTTGGAACTATGCAGTACTGCGTGGCCAGGTATGGGATTTGAAGACAGGAAGTGTCCCTTGACAGCCATCCCATTGCCAAAAAGTCACTTCTGTGCTTCATGACTTCTTCCTTGGTGCTTAGTGTTGTGCCTGGCATAGGTAGAATGTAAGTAAGTGTTGGATGACTGAATATTTGAGATGAATAGAGGCATGTATCTCTTCTGCCTTGGGCCCTAGACTAGATCAGAACCTACTTAATTCTTGACTGTTTGTAGAAAACATAGTTCCTTCCTTTTTGTTTGAACATTTGTGTTGCATATTGTGTCTGCAGATCTTCATTGTGTATTTCATTGCGGGTGTGAAAAAGCTGGATGCAGACTGGGTTGAAGGTTATTCCATGGAACACTTGTCCCGGCACTGGCTCTTCAGTCCCTTCAAGTGAGTAGAAGGCAGGGTTGAAGCCTTGTTAGGTATGGATAGAGTAAGAGACTCGTGTTCTTTAGGACTGCAGTAATGGCTGCTCCCTGAATTTGCCTCACACCTTCCCCTGTCCACTCATCTCCCTTTAGAGCCAAAGACAGTCAGTGACATTAAAGAATTGAAGCCTAGCTGAAGACTTAAGGCATACAGCAGAGATGGGCAAGAAGGGCAAAATAAATAAAGAAGGGGCCAGAACTAGTACCCCCAGAACTTGCATTGGGGATTGCTTTTGTCCTTAAGAGCTAAGAGCTCCTTAGCAAGTATATTGAGGATGGACAGCTATAGTTCTTGCTCTGTCAAAACCATTACCAACTCTAAAGCAAAAGTTTACCTCTGATTTTCTTTCTTCCTCTCATTTTATTTTGGTTGCTTTTTCTTTCTGTATTATGTTCTACTCCCTACATTAGACAGGCATCCACTGTTTAACAGTTTCTTTTCATTCATACCTTCTGAGGAACGTGGTTCCCACAATACACACACTTGCCAATTAATTTTATCCTAGGAGATCTGTTCTTGCTCAGTACATACGGTATTTTGGGGCAGGGAGACACCTGAAAATGTAAAGGGCTTGGGAAATTCATTGTAGAGTATTTTTGTGGGTGGTTAGATATGTAGGCACTATCTACCTCAATGGTAGGGTGGATCCTTTTCAAGGACAGGGTACCAGATGCAGATGTACATTGTTTTGTTATGTGCTGGGATTGCTGGGTTCCCCAGTGAGCTGGAGGTGGACGTTTGTCTGTCTCTGCAGATTGGTGTTGTCCGAGGAACTGACTAGCCTGCTGGTGGTACATTGGTGTGGATTGCTTCTTGACCTCTCCGCTGGTTTCCTGCTCTTCTTTGATGTCTCAAGATCTATTGGCTTCTTCTTCGTATCCTACTTCCACTGCATGAATTCTCAACTCTTCAGCATTGGTCAGTACCTGTAGCTTGGCAGGAAACCTGCACACAGGTTTGTCAAGGGGACTGGTGAGAGGTGGTGTCTGCAAGTGGGAGATAGTGAATACAGAAACTTAATTAGGATTAAGAGGATTGGGCTTTCTGGGCTCAGTATGTTACATAATGAGAAAAAATAAATGTCCTATACTTAAGACCTTCTTTTCCCTCCAATCCTGGGGCTTGAACTGGGTCTGAGCTCCTTTTGCTTAAGGTTAGCACTCTACCACTGGAACTACAGAGCTACTTCCAGCTTGTTCTGTGATTAGTTGGTGGTAAGAGTCACAGATTTTCCTGCCCAGGTTGGCTTTCAACTGCAGTCCTCAAATCTCAGCCTCTTGAGTAGCTAGGATTACAGGTGTAAGCAACAGGTGCCCAGCTCATACAAAACATTTTTACATTGGCTCTTAAAAGTGTCTTTATGATGACAAGATACAATGTTCTTATAGAGTTTAGCATGGGGATAAGATGACTATTGTAGGCCTAAATTCGGTAAAGATATGACTCCATTGTCCAATCCCCCAAAGACACTGACAGTTTCTTGAAGTAAACATTTTGATTACTTCATTTCATTTGATTCAAGTTTTTCTTTTTCTTTCTTTCTTTTTTTTGGGGTGGGGGGTCCAGTCGTGAGCCTGAACTCTGGGCCTGGGTGCTGTCCCTCAGCTCTTCAGCTCAAGGCTAGTGCTCTACCACTTGAGCGCCACAGCACCACTTCTGGCTTTTTTCTTTTTGCTTATGTGGTGCTGAGGAATCGAACCCAGGGCCTCAGGCATGCAAGGCAAGCGCTCTACCACTGAGCTACCTTCCCAGCCTCTCAAGTTTTTCTTATTATCATCTCTATGCTAGGCAGCAAAAGGTACATGGAAACTGCTGCCTCATCAATCCATTTGAACTTGGAGCTTGAATTTAGGACCTGGGAGCTGTTCCTGAGCTTCTGCTTAAGGCTAGCACTCTACCACTTTAGTCACAGTGCCACTTCTGGTCTTTTCTGAGTAGTTTATTGGAGGTGAGAGTCTCCTGAACTTTCCTGCCCAGACTGATCTTGAACTGTGATTCTTAGATCTTAGCCTCCTGAGTAGCTAGGATTACAGGTGTGAGCCACCAGCTAAGAACTATTTTTAAGTGGAATATCTGGGAGATGCTTCTTAAGGGAAGGTGGTTCAGGGAGCCTAAACAGAGCCCTAAGGCGTTTCCTTCTTGCTTTCTTAGGTATGTTCCCCTATGTCATGCTGGCCAGCAGTCCTCTCTTCTGCTCCCCTGAGTGGCCTCGGAAGCTGATATCCCACTGCCCGAAAAGCCTACAGGAACTGTTGCCCCTCAAGGCTGCCCCTCAACCCAGCGCTTCCTGTGTATATAAGAGGAGCCGGACCAAAAGTGGCCAGAAGCCAGGACTGCGCCATCAGCTGGGAACAGCCTTTACCCTGCTCTACCTTCTTGAGCAGCTGTTCCTGCCCTATTCCCATTTCCTTACCCAGGTTTGTAAGATCTCCAGGTATATAGCAGAGGGTGCGCTTGGGAAGCAGTGGAGGTGACAGTAGTTGAGAAGGAAAGGGGCTGGACCTCAGCTGAGCTGACTTCCCCTCTGCTTTGCCCTCCCAGGGTTATAACAACTGGACAAACGGGCTGTATGGCTATTCCTGGGACATGATGGTACATTCCCGCTCCCACCAGCATGTGAAGATCACCTACCGTGATGGCCTTACTGGCGAGCAGGGCTACCTTAACCCTGGGGTGAGATGTCTGATGCTGACAGCTGACTGTTCTTTACAGCCCCTTTGAGTTTTGGGGCCGATTTGATCCTATATACTTAAGCAAATATGGGTCCCTGCTTTTTCTCAAAAGTCAGAATGAACTTTTTTTTTTGGGGGGGTCTAGTCATGGGGCCTGAACTCTGGGCCTGGGCGCTGTCCCTCAGCTCTTCAGCTCAAGGCTAACGCTCTACCACTTGAGCCACAGCTCCACTTCCAGCTTTTTTCTTTTTGCTTATGTGGTGCTGAGGAATCGAACCGAGGGCCTCAGGCATGCAAGGCAAGTGCTCTACCACTGAGCCACCTTCCCAGCCCCCAGAATGAACTTTTTTTTGTGTGCCAGTCCTGGGACTTGAACTCAAGGCCTGGGCACTGTCTCTAAGCTTCTTTTGCTCAAAGCTAGCACTGTACCGCTTGAGCCACACCGCCACTTCTGGCTTTTTTCTGTTTATGTGGCACTGAGGAATCAAACCCAGAGCTTTGTGCATGCTAGGCAAACACTCTACCACTAAACCACATTCCTACCCCCCCTTTGTTTTTTTTAAATATGGGGAGAGATTGGACAATGATTGCCACTTGTTTAGACAACTTTGATATAGGAAAGGTAGGTATCAGTAACCTAGTAATGAAAAATTCATTCCCAAAGATAAGTTCCTTTTTTTTTTTTTTTTGGCCAAAATAAACAGCAGATGGAGATCTGTTTGTGCCATTGGCAGTGCATGCTCTGTCTGGGAGGTTGATGATGTTGAAGCGGGACTAACGGAGGGGTTTGGGACAGGTATTTACACAGAGCCGGCGATGGAAGGATCACGCAGACATGCTGAAGCAATATGCCACTTGCCTGAGCCTCCTGCTTCCCAAGTACAATGTCACTGAGCCCCAGATCTACTTTGATATTTGGGTCTCCATCAATGACCGCTTCCAGCAGAGGTGGGCAAGGGTAGCAGAGAAGGGGAAAAAAAATGAAGCACAGCCTCTCTTTACCCAGATGAATGGCTCATGTTCCCCGTGTTGTCTTGCTTAAAAGAGCCATCCTCTCTAGTGCATGTTGGGGTTGTTATGGTCATAGGCATTGCTGGTCACTTCCAGCAGGGGGCACTATCATCCTGGAGAAAAGCAAACTGACTTGTGCTTTTCAACAGTTAACACAATGCCTTCTCTCCAGGTGGCCACTAACCCCCATTCTTTCTAGTGCTCCAGGATCTCTTTCCCCTTCTCTCTGCCATGGACTTGCAATAACCAGCTGACACCAGATCGTTTCTTCTGTTTGGAAATCCTGTTTCCCCTTCATGGGTACAATGATAAAAGGAACAAAACCAGTTCTGGTGGGTTGGGTGGCTGTGGCCACCTTGGAACATGATTTTCTTCCCTAAGGCTTTTTGACCCTCGTGTGGACATTGTGCAGGCCTTCTGGTCCCCCTTTCAGCGCACGCCTTGGGTGCAACCACTCTTGATGGACCTGTCTCCCTGGAGAACCAAGTTACAGGAAATTAAGAGCAGCCTGGACAACCACACCGAAGTAGTCTTCATTGCAGATTTCCCTGGTATGGAGCAAAATGAGGAGAGACTGTGCTCTTTCCTTGGCTAGCAACATTGCATAAGATGGAGTGGTTCCAGAGGTGGGTGGGTTTCAGAGGTGATGGTGTTGAAGGTATGATGTGTCTCTTCTGGCTGGGAGTGAGTTTACTCAACAGTGGGATGGGATGTTCATTTCTATTGTCCCCGGCAGGGCTGCACTTGGAGAATTTTGTGAGTGAAGATCTTGGCAACACTAGCATCCAGCTGCTGCAGGGGGAGGTAACTGTGGAATTGGTGGCAGAACAGAAGAATCAGACTCTTCACGAGGGAGAAAAAATGCAGGTATTTCACTGTTATTTCTCAGGAGGCTGAGACAGGAGGATCATGCTTTGAAGCCAGTTTGAGCAAAACAGTCCATGAAACTCTTTTTTTGCTCGGTTGTGGGGCTTGAACTCTGGGCTTGGGTGCTGTCCCTGCTGAAAGTTCAGCTCAAAGTGAGCGCTCTACCTCTTGAGCCACAGTGCCACTTCCGGTTTTCTAGTGGTTTATTGGAGATGAAGAGTCTCACGGACTTTCCTGCCCGTGCTGGCTTTGAACCGTGATTCTCAGATCTCAGCCTCCTCTGTAGCTAGGATTACGGGTGTGAGCCACCGGTGCCCAGCCATGAAACTCTTTAATTAGCCACCAGAAAACTGGAAGTGGCTCTGTGGCTCAAAGTGTTCATAGAACACTATAGTTTTGAATGCCAAAGCTCAAGGACAAGCACCCATGCCCTGAGTTCTAGCCTTATAATCACCAACAAAAAAAAGCTGCAGTAGAGATGTGACTAAAGTGGTAGAGTATCAGCCTTGAGTGAAAAAAGCCAAGAGCATGAGACCCTTAGTGCAAGCCCTAGTAACAATCAGAAGAAAAAAAGCCAGGTGCTGGTGGCTCACACCTGTAATCCTAGCTACTGAGGAGGCTGAGATCTGAGGATCACGATTCAAAGCCAGCCTGGACAGGAAAGTCCATGAGACTCTTATTTCCAGTAAACCACCAGAAAACTGGAAGTGGCGCTCAAGTGGTAGAGTTTTCACCTTGAGCTGAAGAGCTGAGGGACAATGTCCAGGCCCAGAATTCTCAAGCCCTATTACTGACAAAAACAAAACAAACAAACCCAAAGAACTCCACCAGTGGTAAAAAGTTTATATGAGTAGGGATCATATTATAGACCAGTACCGTGGAATTTTAAAAAGTAATTTCAGCTGGGTGGGGTGGTATACCACAAAAACAGACAAGGAAAAGGGCTTCAGTTAGGGATGTAGCTCAGAGGTTGAATACACAAACACACACCCCTTGCTTTGGGGACTTTACATAAAATTTCAAGGGTCACTTTCTTCAGACTCCAAAACACAATGAGGAAAAAACATGGAAGGAAAACGAGTAGGGAGGCTGGCCAGGGAAAAGCTAGAGAGTGAAATATATCCATTTCCTCCCCTTTCTCAGTTGCCTGCTGGAGAATACCATAAGGTGTATACAATATCACCTAGTCCTTCCTGCTACATGTATGTCTATGTCAACACTACAGAGGTCGCACTGGAGCAGGACCTGGCCTATCTGCAAGAATTAAAGGAGAAAGTGGAAAATGGAACTGGTGAGTATGTGAAAGTTGAGATAGCCCTTGGTCTATCAAATGAAGATATTGCCAATGAAGAATGGACTTGATAGAAGGGCCTTCTAAGGGAGTGATTATCTCAGTGATTCTTTTGCTGTCTTCTGGGCAGAAACAGGACCTCTACCTCCAGAGCTGCAGCCTCTGTTGGAAGGGGAAATAAAAGGAGGCCCTGAGCCAACACCTCTGGTTCAGACCTTTCTTAGACGCCAACAAAGGCTCCAGGAGATTGAACGTCGGCGAAATACCCCTTTCTATGAGAGACTCTTGCGTTTCTTGCTGAGAAAGCTGTATGTGTTTCGACGCAGGTCAGTTTCACCCACAGCACTTATCATTTCTGCCAGATGGTAACTTTTTGCTAGTGAAGTTAACACTAGATACTCTACCCCAGGAAAGGACAGTCTAGCTCTAGATCTTTCCCCTTGAACTTCTCTCCCTGATTCAGTGTAAGTGGCTGGTGACTGACGACCCACTATTCTACTTCACCTTCCCTTTAATTTATTCCTGCCCTACCCTCGTATCTACCAGACTGCACAAACAGGGTACACTTCCAGCTGGGATATGGAAAGGTCACTGAGGGTGACATCTCATACTATGGGGGGGGGGGCGGGGGCGATCTAGGGACCATGTGCCTCCGAGGTTTTTTTTTTTTTTTTGTCGTGCTACTTGAACTCTGGGCCTGGGCACTGTCACTCAGCTCTTCAGCTCAAGCCAAGTGCTCTATCACTTGAGCCACAGTGCCATTTCCGGTATTCTGATGGTTTATTGGAGATAAAGTTTCATGGCTTTTCCTGCCTGGGCTGGTTTTGAACTGCAATCCTCAGATCTCAGCCTCCTGAGTAGCTAGAATTACAGGCATGAGCCACCAGTGCCTGGCCTCTTAAGGATTTTACTAGAACTAAGTTGAAAGTTTAGACTGGCTAAACTTTTTTAAATGACTTTTTCTTGTTTTTCAGCTTCCTGATGACTCGAATTTCACTTCGAAATCTGCTCCTAGGCCGTCCTTCCCTAGAGCAGCTGGCCCAAGAGGTGACATATGCAAACCTGCGACCCTTTGAGCCAGTCACAGAATCAAGTCCTTCAAATGGAGATTATTCAAATCTTGATATTCCTGAGCCAGATGCTGAACATAACCACCCAGATTTATAAAGGGGCCCAGATATTTAGTGCAGATGTAGAAACAGCCAGCCACAGGCCTATTATTTGTGCAATGGACATGTATTTGAGAGTTATTTTTAATGCTTTTTTCCTTCAAAGCTCTTTGATAGCTTGTAAGAGCTAAGGAAATAAAGCAATTTTTTTTTTTTTTTTTTGGTGGGGAGGGGGGGTTGTACTAGGTTTTAAATTCTGGGCCTTAAGCTTGCTAGGCAGTCAGGCACTCTACCAATTTGAGCCTCAACCCCAACCATTTTTGCTTTATTTTTCTGATAGGTTCTCATGTTTGTTTATATCCAAGCCAGCTTGGATATAAAGTTGCTAGGTTACAGGCATGTGCCACCATTGCCCAGCTTTTATTGAGATGAAGTGTAATTTTTTGCCTGGGCTGGGGTGTACCAGTTCACTTGATCTCTGGTTCCTCCTGAGTAGTTGGGATTACAGAGAGCCTGGCTAAAGATTTTAAAATCCAGGACTAAGGGACCATGAAGTTAAAAGCAATGTGGAATGTCCACTTAGAATTAAAAGAAAGGAGTGGGTGCTGGTGGCTCATGCCTGTAATCTTAGCTACTCAGGAGGTTGAGGTAGGAGGATTGTGATTCAAAGCCAGCCCAGGCCAGAAAGTCCCTGAGACTCATCTCCAATTAACCACCAGAAAACTGTAAGTGGTGCTGTTGGTGGTGGTAGAGCGGTGGCCTTGAGCTGAAGAGCTCAGGGACAACACTCAGGCTGAGTTCAAGCCCTATAACTGACCCAAAAAAAAAAAAAAAAAAA